TTCCTTCCTTCCTTCCTTCCTTCCTTCCTTCCTTCCTTCCCCTTCCCTTCCCTCCTTTCCCTTTTCCTTCCTTCCTTCCTCCCTTCCTTCCTTCCTTCCTCCCCTCCCTTCCTTCCTCCCCTCCCTCCCTTCTCTCTCCTTTTTTATATCCCTGATGCCTAGAAGGTCCAGGATTAGTATAAGTCATTGTTGAAAATATTGATTTAATTTTACATTTTCTCTGCCCACAAGAGATGGTAGAAAGTAAATTAAAAGAGAGACCAATTTTCATAGAAAAAAAATGGAGCTGGAGCTATCTGGAGAGGAAAATGACAAGCAGTGGGGTCCATGTCATCTGAGTGTGTTCAAATGTAGGAAGGCTGAGGGAAGCTCCGCTTAGATATTGGTTTTATGAGAATGTTGAGAAATAGCTTTGCTGGTTGGAATCTTCCAGGAATTGGCCTACTGATCAGTACTTTGCAATTCCTGTGAGATAGGACCTGGGTAGCAGTCCCCTCATGGAACTGTTGAAGATTGTGTGAGAGAGTGGGATGTGTGTTTTGAGCAAGGGCTTGGTACAAGGTGCCAATTGCTTTCCATCAGATCAGTCTTTGTCAGGGCTCAATCTGCTTGTGAGTTATTCTGGAATCCATTTCCAGCAGAGCCATCTGTTCACAATTGTCCTACCATCTGACCATTTACCCTCTGTCAACACCCCTCCCCTGGGCCCTCCCACTGCCCATTAGAGCCCACCCATTGTCCAACCTGGATAAACTGAGTCTGAGGAGAGATTGGGCAGGAGAGAGGAGAAGGGAAGAGAGCACTTTCAACACATTGGCATTCAAGGCCAAGATATGTTTGGGGAAGCCCAATGAAGCCTTCACACAGAGCTTGGGGAGAGAGCATGTGGCCAAGCCAGAGCCATATTGTGCCCCAGGCAGTCTGATGGCTCCATAAATAATATTGATGCCTTTTGTTTGGAAACTCTTTGTGGAGGCTTCCCATTTCCCAACAAGCCACGCTAAATGCTGGGCCTCCCCCAAGCCACTTTGCCTTTTGCACAGTCCCCGGGCCAACTGTGCAGGCAGATGAGGGGCCCTGAATGCTAATGAAGGGAACGGCTGGCATTCCTGAGGCACCCCGGCTCTGGGAACCCCGCCTTTGTTGCTAAGGAGCGTTGGAACTGTAGCTGAAAGGCTTTAACAAGAGGGGGTAGAGAGGAGAGAGAGAGAAGAAAGGGGAGCATTTGTTTTCAGAGCTTCACAGTTCTCTGGCCAGCTCCAAAGCTGTCCAATTTCTGATCCCAATTAGAATATCAAACCCCGTTATTGTTTCTCTTAATGATCTTGGGAAATTCCTTTGAAGAGTCAGTGAGCACTTAGCAAACCTTTTGGACAGCATGATCTGTACAGTTGTGCTTCTGCTTGTGTGAACAGACCACGCCAAGCATCCTGAAAACATCCTTTATTCTAGTCCCCAGAAGGCTGTCATGAGGCTGGGAGAACTAGAAGAGGGCAAAAGCTGTTGAGTTTTCAAAATGTTTACGTGAGAGCTCCATTCAACAGACGTTTTCCAGGTGCCCACTTGCTGGTGAATCTGGGCTCTGTGCTGGGGACAAAGATGAGCAAGACCTTGGTTCTGGCTTGGAGGGACCTCAAGACTCACCAGGGAGACAGACCACACATACTAAATAGAATTCTGTGGGCTATTTGCTCTTTCTGTGACCTAGAGAGTGTTGCTGAGCTTGAAGTATGTGCTACATTCTAATCCTGGCTTAGTCACTCATGAGCTATAAGTCCTTGAGCAAGTACATTTACCATCTTGAGCCTCAGGTTCTCATCTATACAATAGGCATAGTAATACCAACCATAGCTGGATTATAGCGAAGAGTGAGTGCAGGTGAGAGAATGAAGAGCAGGGATATGGAGGATATGGTTTCTGCCCTCCAGAATCCCACTCTCAGTGAGCCAACTTGGAAGATGCCTGTACCTGGAAAAGGCAATTAACAATCTGGCACATTGAATAGGGTAAGTACTGTATAAGAATAAAGTACTAGGTCAGTTTCCCCTTATGGAGCATATCTATGTATAGCCAAGTATAGTGCCAGGCAATTTGCAAGCATTATCTTCTTCAGTATGAAGTGCTCTGTGGGGTAGGCAGTGAATTGCTCTACATCACACACCTGGAAAACTCTGGCTAACTGGCAAGATCCAGCCTCTGTCTCCAGTGCTCTTTCCATCTTTGGAGGCTGAGGCTTTTGGACACTTGGGAAACAAATGGTTGACACCATGTGTCTCCAGGGCATCCTGGAAGTTGATCTGGCCACTGCACACAGGCACTCATTTAGAAAAGTTTGGCTAGAGAGAGTTGGTCAAGACCACAGACACAAGACACCCTCTACTGAGTGCTCATTAGAAGTTCACAATTACACAGACACAGGGAGTATAAAAAATACCACTGATCTGAGAAAAAAGAAAGAGAGAAGTAATAGATTTCTTTCTTTTGCAAACCATGGGGAACTCCTAGCACAGAGGTCATCACAATATTCTAAATTGTGATAACTCATAGCATTTTTCTGTGTGTGTCAGATGGTTCGTCTTATAGTCAGGCCTCATTCAACCTCTACACTGTCAACTTGATATCTAAGATTTCTTTAAAAGTGAAGCTGAATTTTGGTTCTTTTTATGTACACTTTGTGAAAAACTAATGCTAATGAGTATTTACTTGTGCAATGTGCAAGTCTTGTGTGAGTGTGCACACACACATATCTTGGATAAAGTAGTGGCCAATCCCAGACAGGAAATGATCCAAAAGCAATGATCACTTGGCTCTAGAAGGAAGATCTATATATCAAAATTTGTTTTTTCTGTAGCAGAAACCTCATCTCAATATGCCATCTCACAAAGACTATTTTTCAAGCTTCCTGATGCTCAGCAGCTAAGGGAAAGGACATAGGAAAGGTTCATCTCTACTACGTGCAAGGAATTGTCCAAATGACATGGTTTTCAGTGTTTATAACACTCCTCTGTAAAGTTTTACAGATGAAAATACTGAAGCTCAGGGAGGTTAAACTTTGCCAAGGCTACCACCTGCTAATTGCCAGAGCTGAGTTTTGGCTAGTTTTAAAGCCTATTCTTTTTCTACTCTCCACTGAAATGTAAGCGGTCAGGGGAGGGTGGCAGAAACTATGGGCACAGATCTGGCCATGGCTGCCCTACTTACAGAAGTATTCACTCAGTCAACACTACAGAAGTACAGGGTATGCACAACCTGTAGTCACATAGCTCTGGGGACACATCTCATGCTATGTCAATGGAGCTCCCTCCAGTAGTTTGACTTGGTGGGTGCTCAACCTGTCATCTCTTGGGAACTATACTAGATGCTAGACATGAAAAATTGAGCAAGATAAAATCACTGACCTTCAGGAACTTATGATTTAGTCTGAGAACCCCAGCTTCATGTCTAGGGCCTTCCTCCACCTTCTCCAGTCCGCTTCCCCATAGAGATATAGGGTGTACCAGGACATTCTTAGGTACCATGCGACTGGCACTTCCAAAAATGCCTTATCTATCTGGCCAATATTAGTACACACAACCCAGCAGCTTTCTTACTTTTCTTTCCTCTGGACCTTTGTTTCCTTGTCTGTGAAATGGAGCTGTATAAACTGTATTATGGAGTTGTCAGAGTTGTATGAACCAAAATATGTCAAGTTCCTGGCATACAGTAGTTGCCCCATGCATATTAACTTGTTTGATCCAACATGCTAATTTTCCTAATTTGATATTTTTTAGCATGAGAAATTTACATCTGTTGGCTTACTTCTCTGACCTAAAAGGCAGCTAGCGGGTCCAGAAGTTCTAGAATGCTAGAGAGGCGATCAGTCTGTCTCAAGAGGCATTTCTATGGGCAATTCAAGGATTAGAAAGACTAAAGAGGGTTAGACTATAGGGTCTTTAGAGAGCATGTATTAGTGGATCCAAACTGTTCTTCTCTTAAGGTTTTGTTCAAAAGATTTTATAAGACACTCTACTACATAAAATGGATAAAAGAGGATGTTAAGAGGGCTTTCTTTTTCCCTTGAACTTAACTCCCTCATGCTGTCTCCCATACAGATGAGAAAACCAGGATCTGGGTCACTCAGCATTAATGATGGTACTGGGAACACATTTGTATCTGAAGTCCTGGACTAGCATTCATTCAATGAGCTCATGCCACCTGTGGGGAGTGATGTGTGTGTACGTGTGTGTTGTGTGGGAGGTGCAAATTTGGGGGGGATAGTAAGGAGAGAAGAACTATAGAAACTGCTGGAAAGTTTTGCTTGATTTTCCTGCTAAAAGAAGCAAAGAAGATGCTACCTATTTCTAGAATCCTTTGTTCTAGGAGACCCTCCTCAAAACTTTTATCCAGTACTCTGGGAAAACATCTCTGGAGACAATGTAATGTTATTTAGTTTTGTACTGGAGAACATATTGGGTTTGTTCAGAAAACCTCACTTAGAATTCTACTTCTTAGTATTAAGATAATATATTGTTAATACTTTTAATTTTCCTATAATGTAGAAATCCTTCTCAGGCTGGTGACTAGAAAAAGGACTGACTTACCCATCCAATGATGATGTTTTAGGTCTATTATGTGACAGGCATTTTGGGGAGTTGACAGCATCTAGCATGTTTTTTTTACTATATGGAATTGCAGGGTTTGAAAGAACACAGTTCAATCAGCAATGTAGAAAAATATATAATATTCATAATAAGCTTTATTAGAATCAAAGGGGATTTTAAGAAATTGGGTTCTTGCCACCTCAGAAGAGAAAACCTGGTTTTCTCGGATCACTCTGAGCTGCTTATGAGTAAGCATCACAGCCAGAAACCAAGTCCAAGTCCAAAGTATCTACATTAGCTGCATCGGCCTCAACTCTGACAGCACTTGCCTCCACTACTATACTCAGGCTGGGGATAAACACGTGTCTGGGTAGAAAGGAAGATAAAGGAAACATCTGTTCTCACAATATGGGCTTGTTATCATAGCTCCTTTAAGTACCGGAGTGCTGGTTTCAACAGCATATTTTCTCCCAAACGAAATCTCCTCAAGGCCTGGTCGATTTTCCGAGGGCTCAGGGACAGGCTGTAAATGAGAATGTAGTTGTGAATGAGGCGCCGGGCTCATTCCTTCTCCAGGACTCCTGTGAATAGGTTGGGTTGGTGGGAAATTTTTAAAAGAGGATGGAGAAAACAAATAAAGAATAAAAAACTATATTGGCTTAAATGACTTCATAGTAAATGTGAAGTGATAATATTTTGAAACTTTAACCTCCATAAAAATCAAGTGACATCCTAAAAAAGATATTTCCAGTCCAGGAAATATGCATCATGGATGTCAGGAGGATTTTGAGGGTGACTTTGGGGAGAGGAGATGGTGGTCCAATTAAATCTGTAAATAGATTCTAAAACAATTTAAGCTTGTTCTTTGTGGCCATAAAACTTTAAAAGCCAATTTTTGAAACAGATGGGGTGCCTACTAAAAACAATTTTTAATTGTTCTTTTTTATTTTTATCTGCAAAGTATTCAAACATATTCCTAATCGTGCAGGATTCAAACAGCACATTTTCATGCATTTCTGGAAATGTATTTACTGTGACGCCCTCCAGCTTGCTGTGTAATCACAGGTAAATCACATAACTTCTTGTGGCTCAGAGTCTGAATCTGTCTAATAGAGATGGTGGTGTTTATCATCATAAGATGTATTCTGGTTCCCACATCTTTTATATACAAGTGCCAATATGTTTTCCACTTTAAGGTTAGGTAGATTTCAGTAGCTGCAGAGTTTAAGTTACAACACAGCATCAGCCAAGATCAACAACTGATTCATATGCCCCTAATTGTGAACTTACATGTGTCACAGTAGTTCTGGGTAGTAAAGAGGATTTAGTAAAGTGATGGGTTACCTAAGGAAGCTCCCCAACCAGTTGGAGAAAAAAGATATGCAAAAAATTAACTTAAATACAACAATAATAATAATGACTGATATTTATACACATATATAAAATTTATGTTTCGGGCACCCTGTAAGCTTTTAACCAATAATAATTCATTCAATCCTCACGAGAACCCATTTTACAGAGCAAGAAATTGAGACAGGGAGACAGTAAGTCCCTTGCCCAGGGTTGCTCAAGTCCTGTATTCAATTACTCCACTAGGAGGAGATTGCTTCTAGTTAGGCTATTATTGTTTCCTAGATATGTCCTTGATTGTGAAACTCTGTGCTACTGGTGTCAATGAGAAGATTTTAAATATCTTTTATAGGCATGAAAGATACATCCCTTGCATGTTGCTTTACTTCTTTCCTGTACTTGTGCAGACTGTAATAATGATTGTAAAATTCTTTCTCAAAGAATCCAGAGGCAGTCCCCTGGTCATTTATTGAATGCCACTGCCTGCTTATGAGAGTTAGGTCTAGTGAATACCTGTCATCTCTGTTTCAGTTACCAAGTGCTGTTCATATTTGAATGCACGAGGGCTGTTGAGTAAGATGTTCCCTCTGAACACCTTTCCTCTAGTAGGTGTTCTTAACAGTGTATGTATAAAAGTCAATAAAACAGTAAGTAAGTGCTTAGCAAAATGCCCAGAACTAGTAAGGACTCATCAATGCAGGTATTATTATAGGATAATTAGTATAACATCATCATTATTTAAAATATATAAGGATGTATTTTAATAAGAAGAAATTATTTAAAACAATTTATTTCATAATATTTAATTAAAAATTAAAAATAATGTTAAAAACATATTTAGGAATTACCATTGGTGTGGGGGGACATTTTCTACTATTTTTTAAGCTTTACTATTAGTAGGGGATCCCTACTGTCAACATAAGTCCATTAACTAGAATTTGTATCTAATTTACTGTCATTCATGGCTGTCCTGGATAGCTGCATAAAACAACCCTTATGATCCATCTAGTGATGGACAGCTCGTCCTTTTCCCACCAGAATACAAAATGAAAGTACTAATAGGAATAACCTCTTTAACATCCACTTCATTTTATAGTTCACAAAGAACTTTCAAATCTCATTTGATCCTTTCTCAAATCTGGAAGGTATGTTTTATTATAATCGGTTCTCTTTTATAGATGAGGAAACAGGCTCACAGAGTATAAGTGACTGGCTTTCAGGACTCAGAAATTGGTAACATCTGGGCTTGAATTGAGGTCTTTTGGTAAAAACAAACAAAGCAACAAGCGAAACCTTATGCTCTTTCTGGTATGTCATGGGAGTTTGGTGTAGTGGGAAGTCTCATAGATCTGGGTTTGAATTAGGGCTCAACTTCCTACTTTGAACTTGGCTTTCTTTTTGGTAAATAAGAACACTAATCCATTCAGCATGTGGTTGATGTGAGGAGTTAGTGATGCAGTGCATGTGAAGTCCAGACTCACGCAGAGAATGTCCTTGAGGGCTCTCATTGCATTCTGCCACCTTGAACTCTAAGATACCTTTTTTTCTAGCCTTTAGTTCACTGGGAAAATTCCAAACCTATCATTTATCCAAACATTTATCTCACCTACCCTTCTTTCTTTAGCTCACATGACCAGTTATTCAGTCATTCTTTATTCCTTCTCCTCAAGGATATTTTCTTCACAACCCCCATTAGAGAATAAGCACAAAGTAGGTTCCCAGAAACACTAATTTGATGATGGATAGTCTGCCTTCATCCTGGATAAAGAACACCCTGGCCTACATATTTCCTTGCACATAATAAAGAACAGTGATTCATCAGTGGGCAAAGTAGGCATTGCCCGCTCAGTGTCTAGAATGGGGCTGTGGCGGTGTGCTAAATACTGTGGTTAATAAACCAACAAAATGACTTCAGTTAATCCTTTTTCCTCATTAAAGATAGTTACAGATGTTCCCAGACCTGGCTGACACATTCCTTGGCTGTTGAGGAACTAATGGATTTCATAGAAACAGAGAAAACAGGCATAAATAGTGAAGAGGCCATGAGAAAGGCATTACAGATCTGCTAGAATTTGCCTCCAAAGTCAACAAAACTCCGTTTTTCTTCAGAACAGTTCAGAAGTATGAGAAAGGTCCCGATCTTTGGGGAGTCTCTTAGCAACTAAGTTTATAATCCATCATCCATCATCTTAAATCAGCATTTGTTTCTTTAGAAGGTTTTTTCTTTCTACTCAGCTTTTTTTGTTTTATTTTGTTTTTTTCTTTCCTTTCTTTTCCTTTTTTGTTTGTTTTTAACCTCATCACCACTCTCCCAGTCCTGGTATGAATACCTAGACACATGATCATTTCAATAACTTTTTACTTCCTTTTCTCCAGTATTTTCCCTAAATTATCTATCTCAGCTTTCATTGGTTCTCCTCTGGTTGAATCTTTGGTGAACGCTGGGTACAGAATGAAACTCTACCCTATCCCCCATGATTTGTAATAGAGTCTCAACCTCAACTTCAAAATCCAATCCGACATGAACTCCCAGTTCTGTACTGTTCATTTTTTATCCCCCTCATGCTCATTCCCACCTTCTAGTCTTCGCAGAAGATGGCTTCAGACTTGGAATGCCCTACCCAGCTATCTACAGACTACTTCTCCTCAGGCTAATCTCAAACTCTCTTTTGCATGGAGCTCTCTCTAAGTACCCCAGCTCACATTAGACAGTGAATTTCTTTTCATCGCTCTCTCTTTCCTTTGGACTCTTTAACTCTTATTTGTGTCTTTAATTATAACACTTTACTATATGCTGTCTTTACTAAAAAGATTGGTATTGAACTCTTGGTAGTTTCTGTGTCTTGCTTCTTAACTAAAAGCTCTTTGAGGTCAAAGGCCATGTCTCATTCTCTCTTGTTTCTCTCGTGGCTCAGCCTCTAGCATAGTGCTGGGCTCATAAGAGATGTTTAATAAATTATTTTCTAATTCAGCTAAATAAATTCTTATTTGAAATTTTTATTTTTGCCTCTCTTTGGTATAATTATTGAAAGTCTTCAGGTATTGTAGTGTAGTTATACATCATGTGGTCTATATTTAATTTGCTTTGAAAATGCAAAACAAAATAAAAAGAAAAACATACAGAAACAATGAGAAGACAAGTGTTGCTATTCTTATATAATTACTTCTAGAGAGTACTAACATGTGCATTAACTCTCTTTTAAAAATTAGTTACTTCCAGTTTTATTGAAATATAACAATGTATGAGTTTGAGGTGTACAATGTGATGATTTGATATGTGTATACATTGCTAAATGTTTACCATGATAAGGTTAGTTAACACATCCTTCACATAATTACCATTTTGTTGTTTTTCTTGTTATAGTGACCGCATTAAAGCTCTACTTTCATATTAATTTTCAAGTATGCAATACAGCATTGTTAACTGGGCACCACACTGCACATTAGCTCTTCTGAACTTATTCATCTTATAACTGAAAGTTTGTACTCTTTGACCAACATCTCACCATTTCCTTGAGCAACCGCCGTTCTCTTTTTCGTTTCTTTGAGTTCAATGTTTTAGGATTCCACATATGATACACTAACTCTTCATAAACCCCAGTATGTGATTAAATTGGTTTTAGCCTGTGTGCTTCTGTGTATGCTTCCTCCTGTCTATTCCCCAAGTTCTGGAGTGCATTCTCCTGTACTTGGACATTGCAATGGCTTCCTTGATCTTTTCCCTGCTTCCATTTTCTCCTTTATTCATTTACAGCCATCAAGGATCTTTCTGAAATACAACTTCATCACATACTCTCTTGCTTAGAAACTCTCAGTGCTATTCACTGTCTTTGAATTAAGTCCAAATTCCCTGGTCCAGCATCTAAGAGCTTCCTAGATCTGGTCCCATCCCATGTCTCTACCTTTATCATTTAATATCTTTCTTTAAATGGTTTTATTAATTTATTTTTAGATTTTTTAATTTTTATTTTAAAATTATAGTTGACATTCAATTTATGTTATTCTTAATAGCCCCTATATTCTATCCAAACCAAATTTACTGCATTGAGTTTTACATATAAGCTTTCCTTGGCCAACTTGCACCTTTGCCAGAAAGGGCCCTCTATTTCATTCCTTTGTATATAAACTGCATTTTATCCTTAATGATCCATTTCACATTATGATCCGTTCCCTGATCACCTCACTAAGGAGCTCCCCTTTCTCTGAATGACCACATAGTACACCCTAATGGCATTTACCACTTTCCATCTTGGACTTAGTTATTTATATACATTCATCTACTTATTTGTTGACTCAAAAAATATGCTAAACAGAATTGTGCTCAGTGCTGGGGATAAAAAAGGAATGTCGTCTACTGGACTACTGGTGAGATAGGCCTAAGCCCTTAGAAAAAAATACAGTATATTAAATATGATAGTGGATGTTAAAGAACTCTGAGAGGCCAGATAAAGGTTTGCTTAGATCTGTTTGGGGAAATCAGGCAAGTCTCAGAGGAACAGAGCTGAGTTCCAACATATATGATGTTTAGGCATTAATTAACCAGGTGGACAAGATGAGGAATTGTCAGGGGTGGAGTAAGTAAGAAAAGGCAGAAAGGTTCAGATCAGGGTATAGGGTTAGAAAAGGCAAGGCCCATGAGAAAGCAAGGCAAGTCTGAAGAAGGCAAGTTATTTACTGTGACTGGGTAAGATATTCTGAAAGAACAGTTGAAGAAGAGACACATCAGGTAGATAGGTTCCAGATTTTGCCTTGCTAAGAAGTTTGGAGTTCAGCCTGTTGGCAAGCATACTGAAGTATTTAAATTAGGGGAATGAGATTGAATTGTGGGTTAGACTCAGATAGTAGAGTGGAGAAAGATTCAGAGACACAAAGAAACTGTAAGCAACCTGGTAGTGGATTCATTCATGTCTGATTCATCATCGCATTTCTTGATTGTGCTCAGCTGTGCCAGGCACATCATGTATCTACAAATTGTATTTGTTAAGAAGTGAAAGGAAATGTGTCCGCTTTCAGATTAGAACATGAAGAGAAATGTATATCAGCTGTAAACGTCACACACTTCACCTGTATTGCTCAGATCACACAGGTAGAGGGCATTTTCTAGCTTCCTGAACCTGTCAATCCACGTCTTACATTCTGCAGACTTGTTCTTCATTGCTGGACTCACAAAAGGCTGTGAGACTGGCCTGATCGTCAACGATCTTGGGGGATCTCTGGGGGCTGAACTCTCAGTGGAAAGGTTTTCTGGCTGCAGCTCCTCTTCTGGAGATTTCTACCAAAAGAACACAAGCATCTCACTGGCAACACATTTACCACCCAGAGGTCCTCTAGTCTTTTGGCCTAAGATGAGGCCACACAACGAGGAAGATTTATTTCAAGGTCTGGCTTTGTAAAGCTAGGGGGATGAGTTTCAAGTTCTCTGTGCCATAGGACCGTATCTGCCAAGTCTTGTTGGATATAAACTACTCTGTTGAGTGTTACTTTTTTTTAAGGAAAAGGATGAAATCAAGATTTTATTGTTTGCATTTCCGATTTACACAAAACAAAGTTTTTGTAACAGGCTGAGGCTTTTCATGATGTTCTTCTCTGTTTCATATTAGTGGCATCCACAGGCGTGGACTTCAGGAAATGCTTTAACTTCTTGGTGGAAAACCCTCTGGATCATGAATCACATATGTGAATTTCTTGACAAAGAGTGATTGAAACAATAGTGATATTACCTCAGGCTATTGGGCTCATTATAACAGACCTTAAAGCACCTCTAGTTCTATCTGTCCTACTCATTCAACAAAGGAAGCTGGGGTCCAGAGAGCATAAGAGACTTACTAAGGTCATACATTAAATGGTAGACACAAAACTAAAACAGGAGTGTAGAGGCTATGACTAGCTCGTCTTGGTATTGGAACCCCATTTTCAGTACAAAATAAAGATTAAAAAAAAAAGAGTAAATAGACAAGTCCCAATAGGGCCATATAAGACATTCTGACACCTACCATGTAGAGACAGAGGGTATTTATGGTTTGACCTGCCCAACCCCACTTTTCCAGGAATTTTTGCTCTCTACACTATTGAAGAGAGAACCAACAAGTGTCTAGGTACTTAGTATAAGACTAGACATCTAATGCAGGATGAATCAGTGATTTTGGAAGTATTTGTGAGAGGTAAAGACAGAGAGATAGACAAATGGAGATCATTCTGTGTGAGAGGTAGGTACTCTAGCAGGTTTTCTACTATGTACCAGAAATGAGAAAAAGATGGCCTGCTGAGAAAGAGAAGGAAAGAAAGAAAAGAAATTGAAATCTGAAGCTGACGGCAGAGAGGAGAGAAAAGATACAGGGAGTTATGATGTTTGAGTACTTGATTTTAGTTCATTGTTATATTTCTATCTTTAGGTAGCATAATATGCTTCTCTGTCCTTCCAATAAATTATGTTGGTAGAGTTGGTTCTCTTGATTGCAACCCAAATAATCTTAACTAATTCACCATAGAATTATGCCTCTAATTTTTGTATACCACCTGTGCTTCCCCAACTTTCAAATACCTGAATTTTTCCAGTTTTGTACCTTTGTCTATAAACTATGGAAATCCCATAGCTCAAAAGAATAGTAATTGCAATAAGAAGCTGAGTTTTGAGTTTGTTAGCAAACATGAATTAAGATGCTGCTGGGGATGTGAAGAATTGTTTCATTTGAAATAATAGAATGCTATATGCATTGTACCCACATGGATGACCATCAACCAGTAAATTTTAAGAGGTTAATACAAAAAAATTCCACTTCAATAAAATCAATTTTGGGTAGAGCTGAAAATTTCATAAAAGAAATTGAGTAGTGAGTATTAGAGTTTTGACCGCTTTAGAAATCCAGGGGAAGCATTAGATAATTTACCCAGGTAAATGCATATTCATATACAGTTCGGTGAGTATTTAGAAAATTCAAAGAAGTTCTTGGATGTGAGAAACTGATTTTAAATAACTATATTTCTTCAGATAGTTCAACATTCTGTTTAACCACTAGAGACAGGGGCAGGGGAAATTTGTGTGGACCTATATTAAGTTTAACTTACTCACTCACTCAACTCACACACTTTATACTATTTTGGTCCCATTTTATCTAAATGAAGTCCAAATTCCTCATTTGGTGCATAAGACCATTCAAATTATTGCTCTTGTTTATCTTCTTTCAGTCCTACTTATACGTCTTTTTCACCAGTCACATATAACTGGAAAAAAAAAATAAGGCTGTTTTATGCCTTATACATGCTATTCCCACTAACCATGTATGCATGCACTCACCCTTCAAGACTCAAGTCATACCCCACTTCTTTTGGGAAGCCTTCTCTGACAGTCCCAGGCTGGGTGAGGGGCAATTCTTTGCAGCCTCTTTATCCAGCTTAGCACTTACCATGGGCCATTTTTATAGTTGCTAGATTACACCTCTCCTCTACCAGAGATATGAAGACTGGGTCTGTGATATAGTCATTTATGTGTCTTCAAGGTCTGGTTAGTGGCTGACACATAGATAGTTCTCAAGACAAGTTTACTGAATGAATAAATGAATGAATGAATGATTTTCTCTAGGGCAATAGGAAAATGGCTTTATGAAACCTCTGCTTCAATTTCCCTTTCTGAAAAGTGTGACAGTGAGTGCCGTTTATACAGGAATGTGAGAAGAATCAATTACTGCAGAGATGCTGCAAAATCCTCCAACAAGAGGCAAAATAAAAGAGCAAAGTATATTTTTTATATTTTTAATCACAACAGACTTAACACTCAGGGAGAAAAGCATTTGCTGTTGTTTCTTGCATGGCAAGTGGCTTGCCAAAATGGATACTATTTTTCTAAAATATTTCAAAGTGTGAAGTGCATGAAGAGCCCTCCCGTCATTTTCAGATGAATTATGTTCTAATCTGGGCATTTAAAAACAACAACAACAGAAAAACTCAGGCTTGTTTTCAATTCTGTCTGCATCTTCTCCTGGCTAAGTGCTGGGAATATTAAAACAGATTTTAACTGCTTGCCAGATTTTTTTTTAAGCAAAGAAAGAACCATTATATTTTGAAATGTGATGTGTGGTGAAAAAGTCACCCTCAGTGTCTGGAAGCTGGACTGACAATGTTAAAATAGGTCTCCTAACCACCCTTTACTTTGATGGCAGTTGGCGGATTGGTCACAGGCTTTGGAAGGACACCTATACACATGCTGTAAGTCCAATTTCTTGGGCAGATGGCAAACCTTTCACCAAGTGGTGATGGGGGTCTCTGCACGTATACCAGCTAGGACAGGGACCAGCCCACACTCTAGGAGTTCTTCTGCTTCTCTTCTCCTTCGGAGGAGAGTCTCAAAGTCAAAGACAGTCTGACATCAAGGCATTGGGTGGAAGTAAAAAACCCAGAAGGGAGGGCCCCAGCAGGGCCCCACCCAGCATCAGGGAACAGAAGGTGAAGGATCTGTGAGCCCTTCCCTGAGCTCTGCACACCCAGGTGCATACCATATGTTCAGTTTTGCCCTGAGACATCTCTGGGACTTCAGCCTGCACTGAAGTGGCCGAGGTTTCCTTTCCTTTTTTTCCTGGACAAGAAAGAAAAAGTGTAAGGGTTTAGTTTGGCCTCTTCATTTTAATACATACATACGTACCCCCAGGCAAAGAAGAAGTCCAGGCTGTGCTCTAGGGTTTGCACTGTGTTAGGCAGTGGGGATACCCTCGTGGACAAGAAAGATCTGATTCCTGTCCTGATGGAGCTCTCAAAGGGGATGCAGATGCTAAACAATCACTCAAAAATATCATTCAATTATAAACTATCATAAACACAGCAAAGGAAAATGTGAAAATATTTAAACTTATTTTGGAGTATGTGTGGGAGTGGTAGAGGATCCAAGAAAGCTGCTTGGAGGCAGTGACACTTAAACCGGGAACCTGAAGGATGGATAGGAGTTTCTAGGCGAAGGTGACGGTGGACCAGAGAGCTCCAGGTAGGCACAGGCAGTAGCCTGGAGAGCTGCCCTGAATCAGGAGGGCTTTTACAGTCTGGGGAGAGGAAAGGGACTTCTTCCAATGGTCCTGTCTCTTAACAGAGAAGCAGGTGCTTCTGCCCCTCTCTCCACACAGGCGTGTGCCTGAAGTTTCCAGTAACACCTTTATCTTCACCCTTCCTTGCTCCTTACAATGGTCAGAGGTCCTGTGCAGGAGGAGGTTTGAACAGCATCCTTAACCCAGGGATTCTACTGTCCAGGTAAAACTTGCTCAGTTGGCTGCCTTCATGGATAGAAGAATTTCTTCAGGATGCAGAAAAAAAAACCATGAAGACCTTCAGCTAAAATTCTCTAAAGCTTATTGTGGGTATCATTCATTCATCACTCAGTAACTTCCATTAAACTGGCAACTCATTTATTTTACAAATCTGTGTGATGACCACACAGCACCGATTTCTGGGCACTTCAGCTTCAATATTTAATGCATGATTCAAGTATGTCATTCAGAAATACATATTGCTTCTGAGTTAGGTTTCACTATTTTCAATAAAAATGATTTGATCAATACATTTTAATCAAAATGTAGAGGGCAGCGGTGTGCCATAGTGGTGGAGAGTAGAGGCTCTGAAGCCAGATGCCTTGGGTTTGAATCCTCACAACTTTCTCTACTGGCTGCATGACCTTGGGCAAGTTATCGTCCTCTTTGTGTCTCAGTTTCCTCTTCTGTAAAAAGGGTATAAATTCCACCTATACATAATTGTGAGGATTAAATGAACTAGAAAATGTAAAGCAAATACCTGTAGCATAGCAAGTGCTAAATAAATGTTAACTAATAGAGTTACTTATGTAATGGTGTGTATATAAATAAATTCACCTATCATATTAAAAAGCCTTTTGTTAGACTTTTCACATTGCACCTGTGGATCCTTATGAATCTTCTCCCTTAGTTTCTTGATGGAGAAAACATTGTGATTTCATAATCCCTGAAGCCCCAGTGCTCAGCATTAGAACAAGGACTCAATGAATGCTTCTTGACTAAATGAATAATCATGTGTCTTCATTTGGAGTTTGGAAAATAAAATCACTAAATACAGAGTTCTGTTTCTCCAATTCCTCTTCAGGCCCCAGAAGAGAAGGACTTCTCTCTGTATTTCTTTATTCTCATACATCTAACCGAAAATGCTATGTAAAACTTGTTAGACGCTTAGTGAGGGTCGTGACGGCAGACAGGCAGGGCAGCCCCTCCCAGGCAGGTCTAACTTAATCTGCAGAAAATTTAAGTTGTCGCTGGGACCCGTCATCACCTAGCAGCAACGGCCCCTGCTTATTTCACCCAGAATGTGAAAGAAAACTTTCTGTTTCCTCTAAGTGAAAAAAAGGGTCCAATTACTTTGATTCATAGAGTTGGAGGGTTGAAGAGATTCTAGAAACAGTGCATAGCATAAAGGCAGGGAGATGAATTTAGGTGTCAGACATGAATGCTGAGCCCGCTTTTTCCCTTCACAAGCTTTTGGATTTTAGTTTTGTCATTTGTGAAAAGGAAATTATACCAGCAATTTGCAGTGATGTGGGGATTTTAAAAAATTACATTGACACAGGGAAGATGCTCAATACAGGATTTATTATTTGTTGTTCTGTTATTATAACTTTATGATCTTAAGCAAATCTCGTTTCCTCAGAGAAGAGGACCTAACATTGACTACCATGTGCCCGGAATTTTTCTGGGCACTGTTTATATGCATTATCCCTTTTAGTATAGAATCTAGAATCTAGACTTTGTCCTAGTCTCATTTCTCTTTACTGTCTGTACTTTTAGAAGTAGTGTTAAGAGAAAATATAGGCTAGCCTTCCTGGTCTCTTTTCAGGTTCCCTGTTTCTCTCCTAATACCTATCCTCATATAAAAAGGTAATGATTTGCACATGTAAAAATTGTTTGAGAAACCCCAAGGCAGAGCTATTTTTTTCTCCCTAACACAGCAGGAAGGATAAATAATAACCATCTGTCTAGTCTGCCAGTTGAAGATTTGTACTAGAGGAAATAAGCCAAGCTGGCTTCTAGAGATTTCCAGGTGTTGGAAGGGCCAGGTTTTTACAGGGCTTCCAGGGGATTCTGAGAGTTATACATCCAGTGCTCCTCCCCCTCACCGCACCTCCCCCCCCTTAATGACTTTAAATCAGTGGTCTTCAGTGCTGCTTGCTAATATGCTCATACCCAGGGAGCTTTAAAAATTACCAGTGCCTAAGCATCACACCAGACCATTAAATCAGAATTTCTAGGGTGAGAGCCCAGCTCAGGACTGCTAAAGAATTCCCTAGGTATGTCAAGCTAAGCCAGGGTAGATAATAACTGATTTAAATAACAGCTTCTGGCCTTATTGGACCTACTGAATGAAGTTTTTGTGAGAAGAAAATTTAATATACGAGGTCTGCCCAGAAGGTATCCAACCACATCATATGAAAAATAGAGACATTTATTGAAGAAGATACAAGATACAAGAAACATTATACATAGGACAATGATGCCTAGCCCTCTTCAAAGTACGTACCTTGGCTCTGGCTGGTGTGGCTCAGTGGATTGAGTGCCAGTCTGAGAACCAAAGGGTCACTGGTTTGATTCCCAGTCAGGGCACATGCTTGGGTTGCGGGACATGTTCCCAATAGGGGGCGTGTGAGAGACAACCACACATTGATGTTTCTCTCCCTCTCTTTCCCCCTCCCTTCTCCTCTCTAAAAATACATAAAAATAAATAAAATCTTTAAAATAAAAGAAATAACTGATTTTAAAAAAAGAAAAACAAAGTAGGCACATTGGTCCCTCTCAGTTCTCCTAGTCTCTATCAGTTGCCCCACTGTATTTTCTTGAATCTCATTGATAGTCTGAAATGTCTTCCTTTTCAAAGGTGATTGTAGTTTTGGGAAAATTGAGAAGTTGCAGGGCGCCAAATCTGGACTGTAGGGGGGTCTGAGTCACCTGGGTGATCCGATGTTTCGCCAAAAAACTCATGTGAGACATGATGCATGAATGGGTGCATTGTGTGATGAAGCTGCCAATCATCAGTTGCCCAGAGCTGTGGTCTTCTGAATCATCAGAATAGTTTCTGTGGAGAAATGTTCAAACTTAATGCAAAATTTGTTATAGATTTGTGGTTCTACTTGCTCAGTCATTTTGAATGCGATGGCCACACAGTGCACATGCTCACTCAATGGCATCTACCACCCCCACTGACTAGTACAGTGAAGTTGACATTATTCACGCATGTGCATTCCAGTGCACTCTCCTTGGTTGCCAGGTTACATTGATGTCGCACAAAATGTTCCCATTATATTAACAATGGCTGGACTTTTTCCGGACAGACCTTGTATGTCAGCTATCTATATATGCCAGACACTTCCCTCATGTTTTCTTACTTATCTAAAGAATAACCCTGTGAGGTAGAAACCATCTCTGTTTGACAGGTGAGAAAAAGGAGGCAGTGAAAGTTTTAGTTACCTGCTTATGACAACAGAGGTAGGGGTAGGTCTGGAGTTCTAACAGTGCTCACTCTAACAGTTCTAGGCACTCCGATATGACAGTGAGTAAGACATAATCTTCTCATGGAGAGTGCATTCCAGTGGTGGGAGCAAACAAACAGATACATAAAATAATGTCAAGTAGTGATAAATGCTGCAAATACAACTAAAAGAAATTATGGATGTAGAGAGTGGCAGTTGCTATTTTGGATAGGGAACTGCCAAAGTCCTCTCTGAAGTGACATAAATAGAGCCATGAGTGAAGAAACAAGAGAGAATGACATGAAAATGGCCGGGGAAAGAGCATTCCAGACCAAAGCTGTAGCAAGAGCAAAGATCTCGAAGGTGACGTGTTTAATGCATTCAACAATAGCTGAGAACAGAGTATAGCTGACCCAGGATGAAAAGGAAAGAGAAATAGGTTATGTATTCACAGAACTAAAGGGTCTCATGGGCCATGCATATGACTGGAGTTGATTTTTAAATTTTTTTGGATTCCCAGTATTCATTCCTTCTCTCGTATTATTCCCTCCATTACCCTCTTATAGTGATAGCAACTGTATTGTGCTTGATGTGGACCACTCCTTCCCTACCCCAGTTCTGCGGTCTGGTAGGAATATTTCAGATTCATTCTTAGTCTCAAATAGCTGAAGACTAGTGTAGGTCTTAAGTCCAATGAAGACTGGTATCATTATAAGAAAAATGAGAGAGTTTAGAAACAGAGACACGAAAGCGGCACGGAGGGAGGTAAGCTGCGTGAAGACAGAGGTAGGGTTTGGAGTTTCGCAGTTACAAAGCAAGGAATGCCTGGGGACACTCACACCTGGAGAAGGCAAGGAGAGAATATGTCACTGCCGACGTGATTTATTTCAGACTTCTGGAACCATGAGAGAATGAACTGCTATTATTTTAAGCCACCCAGTTTGTAGTAATTTGTGACAGCAGCCCTAAGGAAATGGATATACTCATCATCCTCTTTTTACTCTCTCCATCTTCCTGTATTCCTATCGCCAATCCCCGTTTTCTGTTGTGAAGTCCCTCTGCTTGACATACCTAGTAAGGTTTCTGTTTTTCTGCTGGAATCCAAAGTGATGTACTCCCCCCCTCAAACTCTCAATACCTTGCATTTTGATCCAATGATAATCAGTAAACAGCTGATGGATATACTAAATAGAGAAATTGCAGTAACGGATTATCAATGTATGTTCTTTCACCTGTCATATTTAAAACTTGCCAATTGCTAAATATTTTGCCCAAGTCATCCTTATAATTTCACTTCATAATATGTCCTAGAAATCTCCCTGCATCAGGCCAGCAATGCTATTACAGCTGCATAGTTTTATCAATTGGATATACTGTAATTTAAGTAAATGGTCCCTAAAGGATCTTTATATTGCTTCCATTCATTAGAACATTAGGAAATGCTGCAATAAACATACACATATAAATCTTGGAGAGGTTTTTTGTGAGCTATCAGTTAGTTAGGTACCCAGCTGTGGGACTCCTAGATCTAAGGGACCAGGTGACTAAAGTTCCAATAAATAATACCAACTTCTATAAGTGTGCTGCATTCATCATAAAATGCTACCACTAGAGAATGCTTTGTGATATAATAAAAGCTGGAGAGTTATGCATTTAATGATCCAACTGGCCTAAAAGAATAGTCGTTAAGATAATTCTCACTTACTTTTTTCTATACTGTGGAAAAATTTACATTTTTGGTAGCAATAAGATCAAACCCAACAAGGAAACAGCTGGAGCTAAGCATTCAAGCCAACAATAGCTCCGAGTAATAGGAAGTCCCTTGAAGAACAAGGTTACTGCACTCACCTGTAGGCAAATCAGATGACAAATTGGAGGAAGCTTTGCTCAACAACTCAACAAAATTCTGCCATCTGTGCAAGCAAAAGAGATAAAATATTGGTGATCAATATCATTGCTCTGGAAGAAGGTGCAATAAAGCTCAAAGTTTATATTGAGAGTTTTGAAGGAACTTTTTGAAACCCATATCACTGAGGGTGCAATGCAGGAAACAGAAGCTTTTAAAAGTATCTCTACAAGAATTTTAATATAAGGAATTATGTGCTCACAAAATGCCTGCAAGAGCCAGTAGAGTGATGTCTGCTGCTAGCCTCAGGGTCCAGCCTCAGCTGATACAGTCTAGGAACTGGGGGTCTGCAGGAAATTCTGGCTCATGTCTCAGTTGTCCCAAGCATGAATTTGGTGACTAGGCAGTACAAGTGCATTTGGCCACTGGAGACACTGATGTCCACCAGAGTCTGGGGTCCCTACTACTGCAGGAAAATAAATAAAGAAATACTTAAAATATCTTTGTCCCTCTTCCCACTCCCTTTTATCTTTCAAATCTAATGCAATTGCATCTCTCTGATGGAACTTAAATCAATTCCAGAACCTTGGTGTCAAGGGAGTTTTGGAAATGTTCTTTTTAGTCTTCCCAAGAATGGGAAGTATTGCAACACAAGAAAGAACGTAGAAGGGAGTGGAAACAACTGCTGGGTACAAACAGACAATATTTAGTGAAGTTCTCCAAGCAGAAACTGCATTGAGCAATACATCTGCACGTGACAATGAGTGAGTCATCTAAAGCTTACAAGTACCTTAGGTATATGTTGGGTACTTGTAAAAAAAATCACTTGTATTTGCTTGCCCAGCATTCATCCATCCTCCATTTATCTATAAATATGATCTTCTCTAGGGTAACTGACCACAATCAAAGTCCCAGTATTGTGATCCACTTTCTCTAGTTAATATCTATCTCTTTCTCAGTTCTCCTCCCTCTTTTCCTTCCTCTCTCCCACTCTGTGTCTGCTCTGTATCGCATAATTTTTGGTTTGGTACATCTTGAGGTTTTATTTTTCCCTAATTTTGTACACTACTCCACATCCTTTCAAAATATTTGTTTTGCTTATGTTGGCAAAAGGTGTTATCTGTTGCTAGCAAATGAATTGCTACTGATAAGAATTTTTATCTTCTTCTTGCCTACTGTAAGTTAAGCAAAAATAAAGACCGAGTTGTGAGATATATGTCTTAGGTTTCCTAGAAGAGTTCTAGTGTCATGTGATTTTATTCTCTTTAAATAAAAATAATTTTATATATATATATATATATATATATGGTTTGTTTTCCTTATACTGCATAGAACTTTTCCTGTACTTGATACCACAAATCAGCAAAGTTCTTAGATTAGTACAGAAAATATGGGTCCCAGAGCCTCATTTATTTTTGGTCACATGAAAAGATAAGGCATAAGTATATAGGACTGCAAGCCAGATAAGCTGTTGACTATATCAGCTGCTGAAGTCTAGGCAGGGAAAAAGGTGAAATAGCACTCTCAAGGATGTGATACTAGTGCAGATCTGGACATGAACTACAACAGAAGTAGCTCCTGTCTTTTGTACTTGCACCAGTTTTTTTCTAGGCCCCCTTAGGAGGCCCATGCCTATGCCTAGAACATCTGCTGACCTGTTGAAAAACAAGTGTGACAACAAAAACCCAGATCCATTGCTATTTTCCTATTGCATAATATTTATTTTTCAGAATGGTTAGGAGTTATCAAATATGAAATAAGGTCTCTGAACAAAATGGCACTAGAAACTCTCTTGCCCTTTCTTGATCATGTGCCATTAGTAGGAGGAGGAGACTGTGAGAGAATTGTCTAAGTATTGAATTTAGACATTGTTTGATTCAAATGGTGTATAGGATTTATATGACCAATACAACTCTTAAGATCCTTCCAATAAAGCAATTTCTTTCTTCAATATTCTTTTAAAATTAAATTTATTGGGGTGATACTGGTTAATAAAATTATATAGGTTTCAAGTGTACAATTTTATGATATATCATCTATATGATTGCATTGTGAGCCTACTACCCCAAAGTCAAATCTCCCATATTCTTTATTTGACCTCAAGACCTTCAAAAAAAATCAACAACTTAAATGTGAAAATAGACTCCAGTTGCCATAATAGGCACTATAATTCCAATCACAGAAGCAAGTGCCAGGCTCCCAATATCAAGTCAAAGAAATCGGGACTGGGGGCCAAGGCATATGAGCCTGAACCTAGATTTAGACAGATCTGAGTTCAAATTCTAACTTTAATTTCATTTATTAAGTTAAAATGACCTTCAGTAAGTATTCCGAGTACTTTATGTGCATTTCTCATTTAATTTAAACAACCACTTTATGAGACAGGTAAATAACATGCCCAAGGACATGGATCAAAGGAGCAGCCAGAATTTAAACCCTGGACATCTGACTCAAATCCCGTGCCCTTGACCATTGTACTACGTGAACTTACATGCGAGTGTAACATAACTTGGCTTCAGTTACATTTTTTTCTCCCATGGAATTCAGTGAACACAGTTCCACTGTCTTCTGACGTTTATTATTGCAGCAGTTTGAGGTCGGTTCTTTTTTTGTTCATTTATAATTAATTTTCCTTTTATTTTCTTTGGTTTGGTTTTATTTTGTTTTTGGTCCAGAGCTTTAAATTCTTTTCTTTGTCTTTGTAATATAAAAGTTTTGTCACGATTGACATGGATACTTTTTTTTTTGTAGTTTAGAGCATAGAGAATCCTTTTAATCTTTACACAGAGAACTTTTTTTTCCATCTTTGCAAAGTTTCTTCACTTGTAACTTTTGCTTTTACTTCTTGTCCTATTTTTCTATTTGGTTGGCCAAAAAGTTCATTTATTTTTTTTCTGTAGGATGGCTCCAGTAGTGCTTAGTTGTCTTTAACTTCATTCAAAACAATTTCATTAGATTGTATTGTGACAGCTGTCATATCAGTGTGCATTTAAAAAAGAACTTATCAAAACTGGTGAATTTTTGTGCAGCCATTTTAATACTGAAGATGGAAAAAATATGCAACATTTTTGGCATTTTATGCTTAATTATTTCAAGAAAGGTAAAAACACAACTGAAACACAAAAGGAAAAAGATTTGTGCAGTGTACGGAGAAGGTGCTGTAACTGACCGAATGGGTCAAAAGTGATTTGTGAAGTTTCTTGGTGCTATTGGCATTTTGGCCAAGTAAATCTTTGCTATGGGGCTGTCTTATGCATTGGAAGATGTTAAGCAGCAGCCCTGGCCTCCAACCACTAGAAGCCAATGGCGGGAGATAGCCAACATACTCAAAATATCCAAATCAATCAAGTTATTGGTGAAAATGAAAGATATGTCTTATTTTACAGAAAAAAACCCATTTGGTCTTTTTGGCCAACCCAGTATTTTCTTATTCTATAATATCAAGGCTTTGGGGGTTCAATTTCTAGTCTTACTCTTATAAATCTACTAATTTTTAAAATTTTCTTCTTTCTTCTTTAGATTTTGTGGGAACCTCTCAAAGCTCGTTATTATGTTTTAGATATCTTTAGTGTTTTCCTTTTTTTAAAATTGAGTCCTGGTTACCTCTTTTTTGGGTAAATAATATTTTATTGGAACACAGCCATAGCCATTATTCCTGTGTTGTTTACGACTGCTTTCAGGATACAGTGACATAACTGAGTAGCTGCAACAGACTGTAGACCCACAGAACCTAAAATATATAATGTCTGGCCCTTTATAGACAAGGTTCGATGATGTAAACATTTAACATAAATGCCATCATATCCTCAAATATCTAGCAGTGTTCAGGCTTCCTTGATTGTTTCATATTTTTACTGAGATATAATTTATATAACATTATATTAGTTTCAATGTATAACAAAATAATTTGAGATATGTATATATTATGAAATGACAGGCAAGTAAGTCTAGTTAACATCCACTGTCACGTACAGTTAGAGTCCTTGTTACCTCTTAATTCTGCTGTAGAAGTTTTTGTTTTCTTGAAACTGTTTAGATTTCCCCAAGGTTTTCTAATTTCTTCTATTTACTTTTTATGCTTTTTAAATTTCATTTTTATGGGCTTTTAATCTCATTTTGCATATTACTTTCCAATTTATTTTAATAGGGGGCATGGCTTATATCTTTTAGAGAACACAAGTGGTTTTCTAAATGTTTTCTAGTTTCTAAATCATTTTCAAAAATTTGTTGTTATTTGGAGTTGGCAGGGCCATTATAAACTCTTTATGTTTGCAGTATTTTAAAAAATTAGGCCTTATATGTTGGGTTTTCTCTTTATTCAGGGTCAAATGAGGAGCTTTCCTCATTCAGCACAACAGATGAGTTGTGTAGATTTCCCTTGGCCTACCCTCCGCGCATTTAATCCTGCAGGTAAAAGGTGGGTGGCAACTGCCACCAATGCCTGGATGCCTGGTGCTCCTTAGTTGTGACTACTTCAGAGGTGGGATCTTCTCATTCCACCTGTTGAGTATCAGACACTAAATTGGTATAGTATGTCATAATCAATATACTCCTCAGCATACACAATTACCAGGGATTTCTCCCACTGATCCAAATACCAATCAGAATGCATGATCCTGACCAATTGGAGTCGGTGGAGAGGGGCATGGAAAATTTCTTGATGTAAGCAGGCCTTCCCTCTACCTTCCTTGGGATCACTTTTGATTTCTTTTCGAGTCTGCATCTGTTTAGTTTGCACACTGTTAATCTGAATAAAGTTTTTCTATTACAAACTCCAAACTTGGAACTCCTGTTGGCCTTAAATTGGTGATAGTGACCTTTTGTTGAGAGCAGGTAAGTGTATGTTTGTGTATACTTGGGTAGGGGATGGAGAGGGTGGGAACAGTACTCAGGCTGCTTCAGAAAGCAGCATCTGTGTTGTTTTCTGGTTGGTTAAGACTTGGGGCCTCCAAATGAGGGGGCAGGCATAGCGAAAGCACAAAATAGCTTCTATCTAATGCACTTTCTTTAGGTAGGCAGGGTAAAGCTTGCGGAACCAACTCATTGATTTTTCCAGATTCCATTTAT